CTCTCTCTCTCTCTCTCTCTCTCTTTTCAGGGAGGTAATCATGCGCACTGTTCGCACGGATCGTAAATTCTGGGAGTTCGGTCGAAAATTGGTCGCCGCTTTGTGGGATGCTCACGCGCGCATTTATCATGGCTACGAAGTAATCGGCATGGAGAATATACCAGAAACTGGACCTGCGTTGATTGTGTACTACCATGGCGCTATACCCATCGACATGTATTACTTAAATTCACGCATTATACTGCAAAAGGATCGTCTTATATACACCATTGGCGATCGATTTCTATTCAAATTACCCGGTTGGGGTACAATATCCGAGGCATTTCACGTCAGTCCCGGCACGGTGCAGTCTTGTGTTGGCATTCTAAAAGAGGGTAATTTACTAGCCATCTCACCAGGTGGCGTTTATGAAGCACAATTCGGCGATCAATACTATGAACTGTTGTGGCGTAATCGTGTTGGCTTTGCAAAGGTTGCGCTGGAGGCCAAGGTGCCAATAATACCTTGCTTTACGCAAAATTTACGCGAAGGTTTCCGACAGCTGGGCATATTTCGCAACTTTTTCATGAAACTCTACAATACAGTGCGCATACCGGTTTACCCCATTTACGGTGGATTTCCGGTAAAGTTTCGCACATTCGTGGGTCGACCGATAGCGTACGATGGCACGCTAACGCCAGAGGAGCTGCAAATGAAGGTTGCAATTTGACATACATACATACGTAAATATTTACCTTAAACATTTTTGAGTGGATTTCTGTTTTTATCTTTCAGGTGGCCTCGGCGTTGGAGGAATTGATAAATCAGCATCAACGTATTCCTGGCAGCATATTTCATGCGTTGCTTGATCGTATTCCCTCACTTCGTACCAAAAGAAAAGTCCCGGAATAAGTCGCTAAAGCCGCATCTGTTCAGCGTATTTTAATTTGATAATCTCTACATACTCTACTGTGTTAAATTTTCGTTTTTCATTTCTTTGAAGGGGAGGGAAACGCAAAAGACTTTCTGCTAACTATACAAATAGTTTATTGTGCACCTATCGGGAGAGTTTTGCTTACAAAAAAGAATACATAGTAAAAAATACTTTTAAAACCTTAAAACTAAAGACAAAGAACAAAACTTACGATAGTTGATAGTTCTATTGTAGACTATACTCGTATAGTACTATGTATAAATAAGTTCATTCAATTTATCAATAACCCATCTTGCAATATGCAACTGTAACTGGAGCTTTTTTAGCGTTTACATAAAATAGCCTTAAGTGTACTTAAAATGCTTTCAGCTAAGCTCATATCATGCAATGTGAACAATTTCTCTTATCTAAAAACATTTTTTTTATTAGAACAGATATGACCATCGGGGTTCGTTTTATATTTTGCATTTATGTATATTTTTATGATTGAATTAATTATGCAATGCATCTGCGCATTCTGGTTGTAATGGGAAATTGATTATTCCAGCAATAAAAAAAGTGTGTGTATATAAATAAAACCCGTAGTTAAGTCGTAGGTTAAATTTTTAATTTTGTTTAAAAACAATGAAATTGTTTGCGAAATAGTATTCCAGCTTTCATTTAACCGCTCAGTGTACACATACTACTTATAC